TATATATATATATATATATATATGTTCGTAAGTTTCTTTATTCATTCAGTTAATAATATTCAGAATTTTCCAGCAAGTTTTGCTCTTGATTGTGTGAAGCAATCTTGCTTGTCTGAGGCAATCTACCTCAAGAGTGATTCCTAAGGGTGCCTAGGTGTGATTCCTAAGGTTCTTTATTCTTCCTTGTCCTTTAAACTAAACTCCTAACCTTCTTTTTACTATTCACACACCCTATTCATAGCCTAAAGTATCTTCAAATAAGCCTCCAAACCCTCAAGCCCACCATACCCTAATCTGTTCTGCATCAGTTGGTATCACAGCAAAAGGATCCTACAACTTTATTGTTGATTTTTCCTCAATCATGGTGTCAAATGCTGAACTAAATTCACAAGTTACAAGGCTGAATTCCGATGTGGAGGAAGTCCATGTCTTGATTAATAAATTACAACAATGGATGGATGCAGTTGAAATTGAACATGATTCCAAGATAGAGGAGATGGTGACAAAGAAATTAGATAATTTCCAAGAAGAAATCCTCCAAATAACAGCAGCACCTAGGAATGGGAGAGGCCAAAAAGGGGCACAAGATACAGCAGGTGACATTACTAAGAAAATAAATATTGAAGTTCCAAATTTTGAAGGGAGGGTCAATCCTATTTTGTTTTCTTATTGGATTAATTCAATGGAGGAATATTTCAACTGGTATGACATGGCAGATCCTTGAAGAGTTAGATTTGCTAAAATGAAACTTGTTGGGTTAGCCAAAATATGGTGGCAAGGTGTTGAGAGTGACTTAACTCAACTGGGACAACCACCAATAACTAATTAGCCTGAGATGAAAGCAAAATTAAGAGAAAAGTACATGCTACAAAACTATCTAGAAAAGATGTGTGATAAGGTTTATACCTTGAGGCAAGGAAACCTACCAGTAGCAGAATATATGCAAAGTTTTGATGAACTAAAAATTTGTAGTCAAGTCATTGAGGATGTTGCACAAGTTGCATCTCAGTTTAGAGCTGGTCTAAGAGCTTAAATTAAAATGAACTCTTGAGACAGCCTATTTACAGTGTTGAAGATGTATTCCAAGTAGCACTCAATGCAGAAGAATATATAAACAATTAGCATAGTAAGAAAATTGAGTTCCAAACCAAGGAAGTAGCAACAAGAAAGAATTATGATACAAGATGTGCTATGCAATCACAAGTTATAGTTGCCTTTAAAAAACAAAACCCTAATGCTGGAAAAGGGAAAGTCAATACTACCCATAACAAGGGCAGTAGGGGTGCAACTTGTTTTAAGTGTGGTGAAGATGGTCATATGAGCTATCAGTGTCCAAGAAAAAATAACCATTATATGGAAGAAGTACAAGATGAGGAAGAACATCATGATGAGGAAACTAAAGACCTTTGGTTATGGAGTTTATATGGCTGATGATCTTGTAGATGATGAGAAGGAAGACACTTCTTTTTTGTCAATTGTTAGGTGTATTTTGGCAGCACAAGGTTGAGGAAAAAGATTGGCAATGAACCTCAATATTCCAAACTTGGGTTCGCTGTGGTGATCAAGAAAAAAAGCTCATTATCTATAATGAAAGTTGCATGAATGTTGTATCAGCATCAATAGTGGAACGTCTTCAACTCCTTACAAAACCTCACCTTTAACCATATAAGGTAGCTTGGATTAATAACACAACAACTCTGGTAACTCAAAAATGCCTTGTTTCTTTCAATTATGGTGCTTATAATGATGCTATATTGTGTGATGTTATCCCTATGAAAGTCACACACATTCTTCTTGGACAACCTTGGCTCTATGATAAGAATGTGGATCCTAATGGGAGGGAAAACACCTATACATTTTATGTTGGAAGCAAGAAAATTGTATTATGACCTATGAGCTCTTTTGATATGAAAAAATATGAAGAAAAGAGGCCATCACAGACTAAACAAATTTCTAGTGATATTAAGAAGAATGAAGAAAAGAGATTGCCATAACCTAAGCAAGTTTCTGGAAACAGAAGCAGATCTCTTCACAGACTAACTAAGAGATAATTTCAAGCAGAAAGTTGCAAATCTGGGCTAGTATTTGCTATTATTTCAAGAAGAGTGGAAGAAGTGAACTCAAAATTTTCTACTCAATTACCCAATGAGATAGCTAAGTTGTTGGTAGAATTTTCTAATGTCACACCATAAGAGTTGCCTCCATTACGAAATATTCAACATGCAATTGATCTTATACCAAGATCTCAATTGCCAAACTTGCCAACATATAGAATGACTCCCAATGAGCATGCTGAACTCAAAAGGCAAGTGGTTGAGCTATTGTCCAAAGGTTTTGTTTGTGAAACTGTAAGTCCTTGTGTAGTTCCAATACTTCTTACCCCAAAGAAAGATGGTACATGGTGTTTGTGTGTCGATAGTCATGCCATACACAAAATTATTATTAAATACAGGTTTCCTATTCCTCATCTAGAAGATATGTTGGATGCTACAGCTGGCTCTACTATATTTTTAAAAATTGATTTGAAAAATGGCTATCACCAATTATGAATCAGACCTGGAGATGAATGGAAGACTACTTTTAAAACCAAAGACAGGCTTTATGAATGGTTGGTCATGCCATTTGGACCTAAATATTCCCTTCTTAATCAATTGAGGAATTGTTGTTGTGAATGTCATATATTGGTTGTTTGATATTAAAATCTTGACACATTTGTTGAGATTCTCCACATGGACCTAAATATTCACTTATTAAGATTTTATCTCATGTTTTTCGTTGTCCACTATTTAGGTAATGATGCTAGAGATGATGGGGATCAAAATGTGTAGTGGTTTTGTATTAGACTTGGTTTGGATTTACTTGAGACTTGGATTAGTTTATGGACTTATTTGTCAGTATAAGATATTTAGAGAACCTAATTACCATTTATTGCATAATTTAGCTTAGTAATATTTATTTGGATATTATTTGACTTTTAATAATATTTAAGGTATTTTAGACTTTAATTACTAGCTTGTCTTGACATAATAAATTCATTTGGTTTTAAGCCTTGTGCACTAAGGGTTCTACTGACAAGTGTACAATGTATATTCCACTCCAAAGCTTGGGTTGTTACAAGACTAATCGAAGGTATGCTTAGCTAGTAAAGTCACAAACCAATTTTGTCCAACTTTTCATAGGGTAATTGGGAATTGTCTAGATAGTAAGGCATTAGAAGCTCCATAATCATCATATTCATCTGTTTACACAATAAATTGCAAAATTTTAGATGATGCTACATGTCATTTATTTCAAGTGGATGGATGAGATGTTGCCATGACAGATCTGCTAGTTGAGAGCCTTGACAAATCATTTGCCATACAGAGAGCTAAGTCCAAGAAGATTGTGATTATTTGTTTAATGGCCAATTTGATTTGAAGTGAACTTGTAACTATTATATTTTAAGAAATGCTTCAGCTGAAGAGATTGAATTGGAAAAAAACAAGGACATGTGGCAAAATCTGGAAGAAGTTCTAACCTAGTCCATTACTGAGGTGTCTGACTTCCTGAGGTAACCTCCCATGATCTGTAATTGTTGGGAAGTGAGTAGTTGCATGCTTACATGGAACAAACAAAAGTGAGGTATTTTGATCACTCAATAGACAGCCATCCCTGCACACAACTCAACAATAACATTAGCACTTGTAGATCTCTATAGCAATTGCTCGCTTTAGTTTATAGATTTCAACTTTTAGCACAATTTCCAATAGATTTAGGTTGTTTTTAGCATCCAATTAGCCAATCTAGTTTGTGAGATTGCTTCAACAACTTTTCTTTGTGTAATGAACAGCAAGCATTGTAATTTTTACAAGGTATTATCTCTTTTTTGTTTCATGTTTGTTTAACATTTATGATAGGTTGTGTTTCTTCAAATGATTGCTTATATGGCATTCATGCTTCTTTATAGTTTTTGGCATGTTAGTTTACTCTTTGTTTATGTTAATTTTCATGATCATTCAGTTTTAAATAGACTTAGTAGTTCAATTATATTTCCATATCTATAATAATGTAGTTTCTAGTTCTATCTATTATTTGTAGCTTGGTTTGACAATAAATATGTGTAATTTAACTTGGATGCATCTTTCATTTGCAAGTTTACGTTAATTCACACTTCATTTAGGATTTTTTGACTTTAATTCATAGTAGTGTTTAAGCCCTTGGAGTTGTCTAAGACAAATTAGTAACCTATTTTGTAGGAAGGCATCTCTCTTGCTTGCAAAATCGTCTAGAGGCACGAAACTAATGTTCTTGTAGCCATCATAAGAAGTCGATCATGTGGAAGGAAAGGGTCATTGAGAAATTCTTCTTTTCTTGTTTTATAAAAAAGTAAGTGGTACACCCTCCACTCAAATCTTTCGTGCAGGTGAAGCTTCAAGATTTTATAGGAAACACCATCTTATATTCCTATACATGTCCTTCTGGATCTTGTATCCCAACATAAGTTGATAATTATTGAGTTTTAAATGTTGATGGTATAGGTTCTTTGTGAACTCGTTTGGGAAAGGTTGTCCAATGGACAATGTCACTTGGGTGATATGTGCACGCAATTCCTCCATCTCCTTATGAAGCAAATCGCTGTGAGCTTGAATAACTTGTGCATTCCTCAAGTAGGCTATTGTTGTTGTTCTTGCAGGCTACATCCTTGAAGTTGTTGCACTAGCTTATGAATTTGACATGTGGGTTTTGTTGCTGGAGTGTCGGTTCTATTGATAACTAGAGAACGCAACCAAAGGTTCCAAATTGATCTATTCCTCCTATTCCTAATCTTTTGTAATGAAGATACGTAGTCAGAATCATGTTCCCTACTTTCCTGCAAATCCTCTTGCACACGTATCGTGCGTCGTTGATTCTTGTGTCAATAGGGTGGTAAAGTTTTTTTCTAAAGAAGCGTGGTATTGGCACAAGTATGTGGGCTCAAGATTATTGTGCAGGTTTGTTGCTGAGTCACACCTCATTGTCAAATTAGCCATCGCTCTTTTTATTGCACAAACACAGTGTTGTGCTTGAGCCACATTGCACGAGTCTTTGAATTTGTTTAGAATAATTACCCTTAGGGCCCACGCTTGGAGAGGACCTCACCACACTATGATGCAAATGATCTAGATGGAGGATCATTGCAATTAGAACTTGTGTTGACAGGGGGTGGTATCAGGTTTCCTCTCCTCTCTTGCAATGACTAACTCTCTTAGGATTCTCCATGTGTAATATACTAGTTCTGAGGGGAGTAAAATTTGACTCATGGTAGGTGTTAAATGTTAACACTAAAAATGTGTTAGACAAATTCATTAAAGAACTCGAAAAATTTTGAATACTAATATTAAGAATCTTAAGAATGAATGAAGAACCTTCACCCATGAACGGGTAGATAAATTGGTAAGAAACTTTTTCAGTTTAACCAGAAGTTTTGGTTTTAAGTCTTAAAAATGCAACTTTGTTAAAATTCGTGAAAGAAAGCTTTACCACCCATTAAGTCCTATCTGACTCGAATCTGGATTAATCGATAGCCTAGTGAATTTTCGGATACCAGGTAGTCCATACCAAAAAAATAAATGAAGACCCTTCAATGAGCCGTACAAGGACATTGATACCTGCCTAGGCCTGGGTATAAGAGTTACATTTGAATTATACTTCGATATTATATTTGAACCCATAATAATTCCCTTTTGGAAACAGCTGCTAGGCAGAGGTCTCCTCATCAAAATCAGACTCCATGTTTACCTCTTCTTTGAGTATAACAGCATCCCCAACCTGGTTTCATAGTGTCGGAAAAATACGAAAATACCAACACAAAAGAAATGAATAATTGCTCGGAAGCTAAACTACATGCAGAAGAAATAATAGCTTGAAAACAACTGAAGATGAAGGAGAGGATGGATAGCGCAACATCTACACAATGTCTGTAACTTCTAAAAATTATTACATTATAGAACAGGCCTGAATACTCAGAAAAGGTCCTGGAAATACCTGTTAGCGCCCCCAGAATAAATAAAACCTCCCTTTCCCTAAAATAACTTGGGCATAATCAAGTTCCCTCTAAACAAAGATATGAAACAGAAGCAAATTATGGAGTTCCGAAGGTTCCACTGTACATTCTAACCCCACTATTGATCAAGTAGTGTTTGGAGTCTCAATGCAGAGCACCAAAATAAAGCTCCCCAGAAGATTACTCCCAGTTACAAACTCCCATCATATTACACATTTATGCATTACTAAAAGTTCCAAGTTCCCAATTTTTTGGGTTTTTTTTATAAGAGGAAGCAGAAGGCAAGGAAAGAATAATAATAAAAAAAATAAAAATGAAAGAGTTTGGCGAGGCAGAGGGAGCACAGGAACCCTATGGAGGGGGTATAAACAGAAAATATTGACCCCCTTAAACCAGACATCTAAAGCAAACCCTGATTCCTTCCACATTCCCATGCAACATTTCATCCAATTACAGTGCTCAAGATATCAAGATATCTTACACGGTACCTTCTCAGCCATCATTAGCCCCTAACTGATTCCGAGTTTATTTGGCTGGTACTCCCACCACGAGCATTGGTGCCAGTCATGGGCACAGTCCACTGTGAAAAGTCCATTAAAAGCTTACGCTGGGCTTCATTAGTGTGTGGAAGACTTGCACGTAAAAGCTCACAAGGCATTTCCCGCCTTATAGCCTCTGAACCAATAACATCTGTGGTTGACTGGGTCTGGCTATGTATTGATTGCATGATAGTGTCATATTTACTCAGGCAATACTTGGTAAGCAGAGCAAAAAATTCATCAAATGAAGCCCTCCAGAGAGCATAATTAGGTCTGCTATAACTTGAAGGATGACTTGTCAGTTGAGCTGCCCTTTCAAGAACTGATTTTAGAATAACAGAGGCACCATCACCTGATGGGCATCCAAGGGGTCGGAGTGGTGGCTGCTCTGAAGAACAAACAACTGCAACAAGACAAGCACTGAGTGCACGAAGATCCATGCCATTAACACACATCGAAACTGTCTTTGCAAAATTAACTGTAGTCAAAGCTGCATCCGGATCAGAGGGAAGACCTCCAAACAAAAATCTCAAGTGACGGAAAATAGCCATACAGACTATCCGAACAAGCTCATTTCCAGGGATTAGAAGCTGTAGAAACCTGGACAGGAGCTTACGGCCCTTAGGAATTGAGGCCAACCTTAGGAACACAATATCATCCTTGGGAGACAAGCCAACTGTGTGACCACTTTTGCCAAGCGGATCAACAAGTTTAAGTGATGCTGCCAAGCCTTCAAGCAGGATTTGCCGCCTCCGTGTCAGCTGAGCCCCACCATCTTGGGGTTGACTAAATTGTAAAAGCCGATCAATGTCATCTACATCCAGAAGAACTCCAAGGCCATCTTCAATAGTGATTCTAGCTGCAAGCATTGGCTCATGCTCCAAAGGCTTCTCAACATTCTGTTCAGGACCTCCATCCCCTGAACCTACAAGAGAGTCTTCAAGTAGAGGACGAGGGGTACGAACAGCAGAGAGGGGAATCTTTCCAAGTGCATCGGCATGCAAGTGCTGGTCTCCACTGTTACGGGATCGAGAAGGGAGATCTTTCAGGTGAGATGGGCAGAAATGGAGTTTAACCCTTGATCCAGATGAGTTTTTGGCAAGGCGAGCTTGGTGATAGTAATCATCTACATAAGGATCATTGCCATGCGTGGCATTATGCTGCATCTTCAGAATACTCTCAATCTCTTCAGAAGTCATATACTTTGATCTGAACTGCACTGACCCACTCTCACTTTTATGGCTTCCAGTATCAGAGCTTTGCTGAGAAAAACGAATGTTCTGCCTGCTTCTTTGGGATGATTTAGTTCTTTGATCCCTAACATCAGCCAGACCAAGCATCATTTTAAGTGATGGAGAATGGGCACTATAGAGTTGGGATTGCAGTGCTGCAAAATGGGCCAGAGAGGGCGGAATGGGATGCTGCTGCAATCTCTGTTGGTGCAACTGCTGCTGTGGTGACATTAACTGAGAGGCCATTAGGCCATTCTGATGACATAATTGCTGTTGCAACATATTGTGTAAGAGACCAGCATGATCTCCATGTAATAGACCAGACTGGTTAACCCAGTGATTCTGTGACTTGCTACTAAAAGAGAGGCCAGGAGATGTTAACTGTGACATACTTCCACCATAATGCAGTCCATGAGATAGACCAGCCAGATGAAGACTGGAGCTCGACAATGGAGAAAGGTTTGGTGCAGAGAGGGCCAACTGAGATCCATCAGTAAGAGCAGGAATTTTCATGTGGCCTGATGAAGTCTGTTCGGTTCTGCTACCAGGAGGAGGGAATGAAGTGAAAGTTGATTTCGGTACAAGAATGGGTTCACTAGAAAAGTGATGCTGCTGCAGTGGCTGCTGTGGATATGATGAAGTCCTGTACAAAGGCTTTGATTCTGCAATACAAGCAGAAAGTGGTTGTGGTTGTGATGACCATCTCTTGCCCTCCTGCAAATCTTCAGTATCAAACATATTGTGATCCAACCAGCCAGGAAATTCTCCATCTTGTGCCCAGTCTGCTGCGGATGAACCTGAAGAGAAATTGCAGACAAGAAATAAGGGAAATAAAGAATTGAAAGACTAACTACTGTTCTCAGAAAGAATTACACAATACAAAGCCATAACTTCAGGAATTGTCGCAAACAGAAAATACTGCCAAATTTACAGCTACTACTTACCACTAAAAATTCTCAAACACAAACCATCTGCTGTTACCATAAATGATAGTCGCTTCAAGAGCATAATAATGCTGAGTTTATTTTCTAAATGTAGAAAGTAGGAGGGCTCAATTGAAAAATAAATAGTTTTTTGATGTAGACAAACATATAGTAGAATAGCTATATCATACATCTGCTTAAAATTCAAGGACTAACAATTTTCTTCTCAATTTTATATCTCCTTTAATGGATAAAATTCGAGAGGACACTATTTCTTGCCATAAAGAAAGGACACTGCTGAAAAGTGAAATCTAAAGAAGTTAGGGAAACAATTGCTCCAAATCAAAAGTTAGGGACCCAATTAAATTTCTATCATAAGGTTAAAGAGTAACATAAAAATGAGTGAATCTAACATTTTGTGACCAAAGTTATGGACACATTCTATTATATATTTGAACTCCTAAGAAAATGTGAATTTGCCAATATAAATCACTTCTACAAATCAAATTACTAACCTCTCTGTGCCTAACTCCAACAGAGGAGAAATTTTATTGAGTATTCATAACACAAATGAAGGAAAAAAGACTTTTATACAAGCAAACCCAAGTAAACAGGACTCTGCACAAATTGAGTTCCATCAAAAAATTAACTTCATATTGATCCCAGTATTAAGAAATTACCCCATGAAAGTAAGACTCAATGTTTTGCAAACAACTATTACTTTTCCCAACAAAAAGAACACAATCACCCCATGCCCAGCGGATCAAACAGTAGTTGTTGACAAATAGAATCCAGAAGAGATGGCATAGTAGTTGAAAAAAATAGAGAATAAATTGATGTAAATTACTAAACTGAAATAGAGTGCAAGATTATGTGGGTCATTGTTCAAACACAACTTAAAATTTAAGTATCTCCACTTAATTCATTGTCTAGAGTTCTGAGAAAACATAATTTAACATGACTTAGGAAAAGAACACCAAGATAACAGAAGCACATGAAGCAACATGCCAAAATCTGTTCTCTTCAAAACTACCATCATAAGACAGTTATAAAGGGTAACATGAACATCTCCATATTTGCTGAACAAGTAAAGACAAAAAGTTGCCTATATTCAACAACTACGTTAGCATGTACAATATATACTGTGCATCCAAGTAAAACAATAATATTTTTAAGAGACGCACTTTTTGTAAAGAAAAAATTGTGATAATGGAAAACAAACTGAATGCCAAGCAGGAGGTCTATCTCTACATAAGAGGCATGCTGCTCGTGCTCTATACCCAGGCTTACACTTGCAGTATTCTATGAATACATGGTAAATTAACAATTGAAAAATAAGATATTTACATTATCTGGTTAGGAACTTTAGGTCTCTTGCTAGCCATTTAGTACCCACACACAACCTAACTCACCAAATAAAGAAAAAAAATGAAGATGAGAAATGTTATCCAAGCCACAAGTATGCATATTTAACTTCTAATCATAATCTTTCCTATCTGAACTACATCCAATAATTGATGTTTTCACATGTACTTTGTTGAACTCCCAGTGATTTTGATGATAGCAAAACCTCAAAAATTATTTAATAAATTTGAGTTTTAAGTATGAAAAGAAAACTAAAGAGAAAGAGCCAAATGGAATTCTGGAAAAAAGCAGACACGGGTGAAAGGTTGACCCCAGATCCCAAAATTCAACTTTTGAAGCACAGAATTGCTTAAATATTTGACTCTTAAAGAACATGTACCAAAAATGCTTGAAATCTGTAGAATTAACTATCCAAATCTACATTTTCCCAACGAAGCTCAAACATTAAACACTTTGGTTGCAGATTGAATATTGTTAACACAAGCAATTAAATTTTGAGGATGCAAGGGAGATCCAAACCTTGGAGGAAGAAATGACTCTTAGGGTTGTATATTTGATTCTCATTTGCAACAATCAATTCTTAAGATAAACTGCAGAAATTGATTAAGCCCTAGAATTTCTTAAATATTCAACTCTAACTTTAAATATTTGAATCTTTGGAGTCAAAGGGTCTAATATTTAACTCTTCTGCAGAATAGTAACTACTAATTTTTAAAATCTAGTTAATTTGCAGAGCTTTAAATGCAAGTAAATGGCTAGAAATGGCTATTTTCATGCCTGTGATTAAAAATAGGGCAGATAGAGGTATTAAGAAAGCTCTTAGACACTAGCATTCATTACAAACAACTAAAAAATTTCTTCCCTCACTTGCAAACATTAATTTTCTTGTGCTTTGACTTGCATGCTTGTTCATTGAGTGACCATTTCCTGTCATCCTCTTTGCATATTCTTCAAGAGATATCTTGGGAGAGTGATTAATTTCTACAAGAGTGATTTATTGTGAGGATTCTTGGGTTTAAATTGTGAAAGGGTGAGTTTGAGAGACACCCTTTATGAGGGGAGATTAAGTGGCTACTTTAAGAGAACCTCGAGCTAGAGCAGCTAAGGGAAAGAATTAGGTGCAAAGTAGTGGGTTCAAACCTCCATAAATTATTGTGCGAGCTACCCTCCCTTACATTTTCATTTGATAGTTGGAAATGGGTGAAATTTTTTAAGAATCCAATCCATCCCCCTCTTTAGATTACTAGAGACAAATTAGGACTGTCTCACATGCTTGCTTAGACAATTGATTAATTAACAGAAATTATAATGTTTTCTTATAACAAATTGATCTACCTTATCCTCTCTTTTTTTTTCCCTCTTTTTTCTGTGCTTTTGATGCTGAAAGTATTTGGATCTATTTGTATACAAAATACATCTGCTAAAGTCAGCATCAGTATTCCCTGAACATATAAACACACTTTCATATTAAACTAAGTGTAGGTATCTTCTACACATCTTTTCACATATTTATCACAAATCAACTTGACAGTTACTTCAACTCACATAAATTGGTGCACAAATTCTAAGAAATATGTAAACTAGAAACTGAAAGACGAATTAGCACAAGGTTAACTTGTAATTAATAAAAACAACTTAGAAGTAATAATGAGATGCCAAAAAAGGTTTAGGAACAACAAATTCAAACTATCAGAAGATATTATTTTAGCATGAGTGCACAATGACATAAACTGTAACATGGTTCTACTCACTTTCCCTTGAAAATGAACCAGATCTATCACCAATAACTCCTGGATTTCTTGGTCCTGTGACAACCCTATTCAACTGCACAGAAAAAATGTCAATCAACATGAGCAAAAATGGAAATTAAAGAGCAACAACAGTGAGCAAGATAAAGAGTAGAAACAATCAACCAAAAGTTACTCAGGCTAAATAACATAAGCAGACATGCTAAAAATATAAGAAATACAAATATTAAGAGACAAGACAACATAGTTGCTTCCAGCCACTAGGACCAATCATTTTACCATTTTATTTTGAAAATTACAGAACCAAGAATAAAAATATAATATTCAGAACCAAAATTATCCATCCGAATGAAAGGTTAAACCAGATATAAGCTTAAAAATGCTCTAGAGTGATACAGGCCCAAGCAAGATGAGCTTTTATGCTAGGAAAGACTATATCAAAGATTTAAGCTCCACTGTTAAACATGAAACAAAAAGTATGGACATCTAATGTACAAAGCAAGCTTGCTACAAAGACATACAGGTCACATGGCAGAAAGTATGAAATTTAAGAGATTTAAGTGATTCCTAATCTATATTACTTCACCATGTTGCTAGCGAATCTCTTATTTCTATAAGCAGAGAAGCTTTTACAACAGAAATCTCAACAGACAAAATGGAAAATATAGTTTTATATCCTGACAACCAAAAATCATTTTTTATTTTCATTTTCATCAAAAAATTGATTACAAAGTTTAGTTATAACTGGTATAAAAGTTATCCATCCCACACAAGGTGTTAAAAGAAACTACCTTAAATTTAAGTTGGACATAAGTTGTAAACAAAATTATAAAAAAAAAAAAGACCATAACTTTTGCATTGCAAACCATCCATGCTGAGAATTCTGTCATATTAAGTTTGAGGCACAAAGAAGAGCCAATTAATCTCAGGCCTGATTACAGATCTAGCCAATTTTTTGTGGTTGTGTAAGCTCAGTATACAACGTGTTTGAGTTTATTCCCAAGTTCAAGTTCTTAACAAACTTCACTTAATAAAACAAGCCAAGCTTGGAGCAAGTAGACTTGCCTAGATAAACAAGTCAAACAGAGATACTTTCCAGCTGAATTTACTTAAATGAGATTCATTATGGGCTTGAGCAAAGCTTGTTTATTAAACAAATAAGCCAAGCTGAACATCTTAGCAAGCTAGACCCGCATAACTAATAGGCAGCTTGGCTCATTTTCACTCTTGGCTAAAAGGATAAACAAATAGCCACTCCCTAAACATCAAAAGTGTGCACCATATATGCATGCACTGCTTATATCCAAATCAATGTAACATCAGTTACTATCAACTCTAATCATTGCATTCCATAATAAAAAATCTTTGGCTATAGATAAAAGGCAGTGCAACTTAAGGAACAAGCATCACAAAACTCAAAGGGACATTGGTAAAATTAATCATGTTGCACAATGCACAATCAACATTTAAAAGTCACAAAGGACAGTCCGCATTGTTATAAAGGGAAGAAATCTAACCTTTGCAAAAGTAGTTGCTAAATCATCCATGTCAGATAAGGATCCTAAACCTACACCCTGAAAATCAAATGTTATGGTTAGAGGCAAAGAAAAGGAATTTACCCCATAACAAAAGAGTTTCCTGAGGCAAATTTGAGTTTTAACTACAATTTCAATCATGCAAATTTTGAAAATCAATTTTAGAAGAAGAAAAAAGACAGCAGCATCAACAAATATAAGTGACACCACATCCAATTAAATTGTTAATGATACATATATAAATTGAATCTAGCATTGAAGAATGCTGAGCTTTTTAAAGAAAAGAAGTGAGGCAAAAATTTAGCTACTGCTCTATGACAGAAACAGGATGTCTAAACAAGCAAACTTATGAAAACTTCAGAGAAGTCTTAAGATAATATGAGCACCGGCTTTGGTGCCTATTCATGGTTTGGCATTTAAAAGCATGAAGACTTTATCAACCATAACGATAGAGCTGGAGGAAGGGCAATAAGGCCCATATTTTCTTCCATCACATAAAAGAAACGAGTGTAAAACAGAAAAAATCAGAACATCACTCAAAAAAATAAAAAATTAAGAAAAATCCATACTCAGGAAGCAATTAGGGTTACATTCCCTGCCAACTAACTGCACTTCATTAAATAACACAATGCCTCTTTCAATACTTTTTAACTCCAAATCACTGACTTTAAAAGTAATTTTAATAGCTTTACTTATTTAAAGAGGAAGAAAATGTAATTTTCTAAAAGCATTCTACTTGTCAAAATAAAAGTCAATGCAAATGGTGGTATAAACTCATCATTTACTAAAACAGGCAAATTCACCATAGAGCATGCACTTCTGCCCTTTTTAAGGCCTAGCAGATTTAAAAATTCTACTAAACTACATTGAGAGATTTTCGTACAGGAGATGAGACTTTAGTCTTTTTGTACAAGTTTAAGTACCCTTTATGCTCTCTTGTTAATATAAAGTCTATTTGTAAGGGTTTGACTACCCCTTACAATCACTTGTTGATATAAAATTATGTATTAGACCTCCTATTGATCTTCCTTTGGCACACACAAACTTCACTGCGATTACTTTAACAATCATAAAGAAAATATTCAAGACCAAAAATTGAAAGGATAACTACCAAGCAGTGGGAGAGGATCATAAAATCACATCAAACTTGAATTCCCACACAATTGCCAAAATTAAATTAAACTTTACCTCTCCCCTGTCAAATAAACGGTATTCATCATCGTTAGAAGACCCAAATACAGAAGCAACCTCTCCAACATCTTCCAACCCTCCCAACTCCACCTCCTCCACGGAATTTTTACCAAAAAATTCATATTGTGAAGCATCAAATAGAGTACTACCTGCAAGCATTCACTCGACCAGTTAAATAAGTTACAAAATCAGTTTGACACAACAGGGTAAGAACAATTCAACGCAACCCAAAAGGCTCAAGTTTTCCCTTCAAATCACACAGGGACATAGAACAAGAAATACAAAAAAATAAAGTTCAATCCAGCCGAGTCATCCAGTTAAAAGAATAAGCCAGTTCCTGAAAATTACTTAGTAAGATAGCCAAAACACACCCTTGAAATCACAAAACAAAATTTGAATCTTTTTATTTTAAGATAACAGTAAAGCAAGAAAATAAATGAGTATTTTGGCTTTTGGGTTCTAGAAAACACAAGCAGTACCTAATCTTTCCCAAATCATCGAATCGAAATAACAAAAAATCACAGTAACAAAAGAAAAGAAAAGAAAAGAAAACGCAAATTGAAAGAATCCATCAAATTAATATAAGAGGCTTAGCAAAAGACCTGAGGAAGTCTGAGTCAAGTCTCTGGAATCAGATCTCTCCATATTTACAGAATGAAACTATAAGGAAACCCTAGAAATCGAAGAAATGAAGAAACCAACAGTGTTTAAGCTGCGACAAACAAAGTAGGGGTTCTGAGGAGGCGAAGAATTAAAAGGGGATTGTTAGGGTTTGTTTATGGAATGGGAATTGAAAGAAGGGAATCCCCCTCGAAGAGAGAGGGAAGGAAAGATGGGAATTGCATTTGCGAATGGAAAGTCTTCTTTTTGTGCGTGCACGTACCGAGAAACAGAATAATTCCATCCTAAATTCTCTTACATCAAGTCTTTTAATATTTCGAATTGGCCAGAAAGGTATAATAGTCCTTATACTTTTCGATATTATTGAAATCACCCCTTTACTTTTTCTTAATTTAAAGTTACTCATGTGATAATTCAAATCTTAATTTATAATATAATATCTATTGAAAAAATATTTCAAAAATTCAAAACCACAATAATACTAAATGGAGCAATGTTTTCAAACCTGAACCGGAGGTCGAACCGTTTTGACCTCCGGTTCACGGTTTGAACGGTTCAACCGGTTTAACCGGTAAAACCGCCGGCTTAATGAAATACTATAAATATATCATTTTGCAAAAAATATCACGCGGTGTTGGTGGGTTGCACTGGTAGATGGCTGAGCTTCTATAAGAGAGATTCGGAGTTCAAGTCCTCCCAATAACAAATTTTAATATAATTGTGCTTAAAGTAGAATAATTAAATTGTAAAGCATTAAAATGACAAAAGAACATTGTGTACAAGTGGAAAAGCCGATGTTCTACAACTTGAAGACTAAGTGTTCGAATCTCAAGCTTGTAATCAGTAATAATGTTTAAAATCTTTGGGAATTATATGGGTTAAATAAAAGTCCAAGCACTGATTGACTAAAGCATTGCTTTGTCCTGGTGGCAAAGGATCAACCCAAAGACGCTAAGGTTGCAAGTTCAACTCCCGGCGGACACAAATTTCTCAAGATTTTATGCCCCCAGCATTGAACCGTCCGGTTGAACGGTTTGAGCGGTTTCAAACGGTTCACCGGTTCGAGCGGTTTCAAGCGGTTTAACCGCTTAAACGGTTCGAAAAGTGCAACCGAACCGTTTAGATCACCAGGTACCGGTTCAACCGGTCCGACCGTCCGGTCCGGTCCGATTTTCAAAACCTTGAAATGGAGCCTAAATAAATAAATTATTATTTTAATACAGTCAACAAACTTATCAAATTTAAAGGAAATTAGTCCTTAAACTTCAACTTATTTTATTAAAGAATTTAAAACTAAAACAATAAATTCTCTTCTACTTTGTATATTGTTTTTATGCTCATCAATGGAGTGTTTTTTTCAATGTATCACTGCCTCCACTGATTTTCATATTACAACAAGAAAAAGACACCGTCTCCATCTCATTCTCATCTCCAATTGTGTCCTAAGTTGAACAAAAGCTAAGCACTTTAAGCACAACACAAGCTCTAAATTAGAATCAAAATTAAAATCAACCTTAAGCAAAGAAAAAATAATACAAAAATTGAGAACTAAAGAAAAAAAACATAGGCTGATGCTCCTTGTCAACCACAACAATGGAAGCCTTGTGTTTGCTCTTGTTTCAAGAAGCATAAAAAACTTCCCATCATTTCTACCCTTTAATTTCTAGGGAATTAAGAATTAATCATATACCCAAATACCCAATTCTCTATTACAATACCAAAAGTTAACCATTTTGATATGAACCTACACCACTACACCTTTTCTGTCCCCAAAGAAGAATAAAAAGTCAATGATTCCAATGATAAGATCGATTTATAGTTCCAATTAGAAAGTGGATTGACTCTTTGATCAATTTTCCTTCAAAATCTTGAAAATTTTTCTTTACTCTATAGAAAGAAAAGATGATATTAAGATAGGTAGAAGATAAACTCAAATAGAAGTGATTATCAAAGAAATGGAGAGAAGTGAAATTTCAGGGTTCAATGTAGAAGAGAGAAACAATGGGTATCAAGATAGAGGGAAGTTTGAGATTCTAAGGTTTAGCAAAAATTGAGATTTTATTTTTCATTCTTTTCTGTTGTATAAGGTAGTCCCATAATTTGGAAATATTGGGCACCTTTGCATAGAGTGAGATACGCATTAAAATTTATCCAACTAAGCCTTTTTTTTTTTTAATCCAACATGAGCTATTATGCTAGGGTTAACAGAAGGATGAATTTGGTGTAGAATTTCTAAGTTGAGGGGAAAAAAATGCAAAATGAAGTTAAGGAACAAAATTAATGCAAAATACTAAAGTTGAGGGATTAAAAAGTGGAGTAACCCTTTTTTTAATTTTATGGGACAAGCTTGTTAATAAAAAATAATAAAGAGAAATTTGAAGAAAGAAAAATGACTAAGATGGACTTAATTTTGAAAATAAAAAAAGGCACCAAACTATCAAATTTTGTGAATTAGGCCCAAGCCCATTTTATAGGCCCAAAATTGATGCAAAGCTCATACGACACCTTAGACCCAATCCATTTTCTATAACACACTCAAAGTTTTTTATTCAACCTGACACATAAAAATCCTTACCTAAATAGCAAACTTAAACCTAAAACTACCATAATCTAAAATTATCTCTTTTAGCCATACACCCTATTCATGCTTGTAATCACTTTCCTTCCATCTCTAGCTTTTTTTTTATCTCTTGTTACTCTAAAGCAACTAAGGGGGAGGAAAGCTCTTCGTCGACAATTTCACTCTACTTCCAATAGCTTTGTGGTGGACATTGAGTTCACACAATAATACGTGCAACCTTTATTTTTTCGAACACAACCACTTATACACTAATTTGTCATCACTACAACAAAAATGGCTTTAAATGACAGTATCATCATTAATAACTTCCATTCCAGTTGTTAAAGTAGAAATAATGACAGGAGGCCTTGTCATGGCCCGTCGTTGTATGCTTGGTGGTTAAAAGTTTTCTACGACGAAAGCATTTTGCCTGTTACTAAAAGTGAATTGTATCTCGTCATTAAAATGTCATATTTATCTTCACCAAATCAATTTATAGCGAGGGGAATCTCATTGTTGAAAGCTTAATAATTTTTAAATTTAAAATATAAATAACCACCACTTTATTGTTTCTAACGATGATCAACGCCAATCATTAAATTAAATGTTAATTTTAAATATTTTCATTAATATAATCATTCCCGACAAGTATTCTAGTTATTTAGTAACCATTAACAACAACAATATACCGTGCTTATTTTGTTATTGTTAAACACTGTCATAAGATAATTATTATAGATGATATGGTAACTAATTCAAATTACATGAAAGGCAATATTTAATGGTTATATCACATTCACAATGATAAATATGATATTAACAATATATGTAAAAGCCATAAGTTTCTTTTACATTATCAAAAGCGAGATGTTACATACACATGAAGGTAAATTCTACCTATATCCATAAGTACAAATGAGTCTTACACTTAATTTTTATATGCCCATTATCAAAAAGTATTAAAAGTGTGACAAAATAACTAAAAGTAGTCAAATTCACCTGTACTTCGAATATGTTGAGACCACCTTTTTACCTGGAAAAGAAAAATATAAATTACCATTAGTACATACAAAGACACTAATGCAAGACAATTAAAACATCAAAAATCTATAGAAAATCACATACATTTCCATGGGATTAACCTCCAAAAATTAATCAATCATCAAACTTTACCTATAAAACAAGAAACATATAGACATTGTTTAAAAGTTAAGGAAACCTTGCCACAAGCAAAGAATCAAATTGTAGCACGATACAAAAATAAATGAATGGCAAAGCACACTTGGACCTCACTAAGCAAAACTATTTAGTTATAAGCTACAAGCATAATCAAACATTAAGAATGCATGGTCCATAACACAGAGCATGCCATAGGGAAACACAACCAAATGAAAGTTCATTTCATTTAAAGATAACTTCGCTCTAAAAGATAACAAAAAGTGGACTTATAGGAAAACACTAGTGCTTTTGGGTATCTAGGAGCTATAACATACATTTTGAAACTAATTGGCAAGCTCAACTTGAAATGATCATAACTCAACCTAAAATCCCACATGTTTGTTTCATTTCTTATTAGCTACTATAAGAAGTAGCATATTGGCAACACATACCATTCCCAACTAGATAAAATAGCTACATAGAGTTCAAGTTTCATACTCTAATTTAAAATAGTTACGACTTTCAACTTTCCCTTTCCCATCACTTTCTTTGGCAAACACAATGCATAGGACAAACCATGAATAAATTCACTTTACTTAAATCATCTCGACCTCTGAAAAATAAGAAACTAGCCTAATAAAGCAAAGAATTACCTCCAATAGTCCCACTCAATTGAGGGATAAGGTGATAAAATTGTAATAGAGTCAAAGTTAGCTCATGCCAAAATTTGAGAAATCAAACTTAGTAGAATTGGAAGTGCAATTAAGTGTTTGCAACTTAAGAATCTTACCTATTTGTTGCTTATGCTAATTATCTCTCAATGAAGATGGGCTTGTGACATTTACTTCTTGGTTGTTGAAGCAACCCTCCATTGCCCTCATTCTTGCTTCCATTGTATCAAGATGTTTTTTAAGCAAGTTATTTTCTGCTTGCTTTTGATCTAACTTTTCCTTAAGCAGGAGGTTGTCTCCTTCCTTTCATTAAGTTTAGCCAAAACTTTAGATTTGGTACAAGAGGTTTTCTTCAATTCTGACACCTTAACCCCACCTCTATAAGCAAACACATGAGAATGGCGTTGAGGCCCAAAACATTTCTTAATAACCTCAATATTTGAGATAGATGGCTCAAAGTTAATAATCTCATGAATTTCATCCTATAAAAAAGAATTGTCACTTAAAAGGATGTAAAAGATTAATTATAAGATTTGAAGAATATAATGATACATGCATATTTTTAGCAACTTCTGGTTCCACTATCTTCTTACCCTTCTTGCGAGTCTCAATTTTTTCTAGTTTTCCTCTCTTCTTCTACCCTAAATTCAAAACCCTTGAAGCCATCAACCTCCTAATCTCTCTCTGACGTTACTTCTTCTCATCAAGATCGCTACTTTTTGTTCTTCTTTCCTTGTTCGTGATTTGAATGTCGAGTGGGTGCTCCTTCTGTAATTTTCTAGTAAGAAATCATCTCGATTGCTCATCTTTTCATCCTTAATTTGAATTGGGTTAACTCTAATCCTTTAAGGCCCTCAATTTTGGGATTT